AGATCCCGGTTTTAGGAAAACCAGTTTTTCAAAAACTCTAAAAAATAACCAAAAGCTTTCTTAGTAAGGCCTGATTGTAGCCTGCACATTTCTGATTAAAATGAGACATCTCCCAGCTCTACACGACCTTTCTTTACAAAGTTATAGAATTTACAACAAAAAGCCTAAATTAATTTCTTCTTATTTCTGTAGCTTTGAGTTGACAATGAACATTTAGAGCTTTTCTTGTAAATTCTATAACTTTACAAAGAAAGGTCGTGTAGAGCTGTCTCATTTTAATCAGAAATGTGCAGGCTACCATCAGGCCTTACTAAGAAAGCTTTTGGTTATTTTTTAGAGTTTTTGAAAAACTGGTTTTCCTAAAACCGGGATCTCCACAGACCTATCGGCCCAAACCATTGTGATATTCGGAATCAGGACACTCAATTATCTATTGTCCACTAAGTTTCCAGTCAAAACGGATTTGCCACTTGGGGACCTTCCCTCGTAAGTCCGAGGTACACAGAGAAAGTCGCTATGAAAGTTTGGCCAGAACAGCTCGGCTTTCTCTGATAAGTCGAGGAAGCCACTGTGATAGTTTGCTGTTAAGCAACCGGGTTTAGCGCAACTCAGATGTGCAAGCGTGCAAAGTTCGCATTTTTCTGAATGAACGCGTGGAAAAGTCCATTGCAGCACAGTTACCACTCAGTTGGGAACAAACACTTTATGAATTCAATCCAGTTAATGCTATTGCAGTTGTAATACATAGAATAGCAGTTCTACTGAGTTCTCTGTTGCCGTATCCCACATTCCCTTGATTCTGCTTCGCACCGCATTCGCAACTCTCGCTAGTGTCATTACCATCTAGCTGTTTATGTAATAAATGCATATATATTATTTCTTTCTGTTATTCAGCGGATACTTTACAAAACTTGTCTATTTCTGTTGTCGAGAGCGTCGCTGTCTAACATTCTTTTATAATATTGGAGACCTGAAAAGCGTCTTATTTTGTAGGAAAAGTAAGGTAGGCCTAATGTAAATTTACAGAAACATTTTTTTCCAACTTATTGTACGTCGTTGGATAGAGCGCATCGAGCTGGTTAAGAAAATGTTTTTGAAATATTAAATATTTTTCTTATTTAGCATTAAAAGTGAACAGAAAAATGGTGTTCGATCAATTTCAAAGTTAAGGGCCTGTCCAGTATGGCAGTGCCGTCGGGCAGTTATATAAACCTATCTAGTTTTTTGTGTTAAGAGCTGAAGTTGAGTTCTATTGGAGAAAATTGAGAATTACGGGACTTTTTCGCTTCTGACTTAGAAAAAATGAATTTTCTCAGCACGAAACAAAATTTAAGAAAAGCGAAGCATATTTTTAAAGTCGGGCTTACAGCGAACCTAATGATGTTCAAATGACGGCTTCAGCTCTTAACATAAAAAACTAGATAGGTTTATATAACTGCTTGACGGTATTTTAGAGGGTTCGTTTGGGACAACCATACTGGACAGGCCTTTAACTTTGAAATAGATCAAACACCATTTTTCTATTCACTTCTTATTGCTGAATAAGAAAAAAATACTTTGAAAAATCCAGACTAACAAAGACAACGAACATTCGAATTCTTTTGAATTTGAAGGATTTTTCGCTTGTACACATCCTTCAAGTTGTTAAAACTTTTTACCATAGAAAAGATCTTTTCAAAAGTTACAAAAACATTTTCTTAATCAGCTCAATGCGCTCTATCCAACGATGTATAGTAAGTTGAAAGAAAAATGCTTCTGCACATTTGCATTAGGTGCACCTTATGTGTTCTTCAAATTCCATCTTTGGCTTTATCCAAAATATTCTCGTGGTATCCTTTCACGATCGAAATATCCAGGAGACATAAACAAAAGCTTTGGTTTTTTTGGAGGCTATTTATTTATTTCAAATATAGTGTAAAAAGTATTGAGTAAAAATTGGGGTGATTCTAGAGCGAATTATGAGGAGCACATTTTCCAATACTAAACAAGATGTTCCTAAGCTTTCCAAAATTATAAGACAAACAGAAAGTGCAACTACGATAGTGTTTTGACGCTTCTAGTGGGATGCAATTAAGTAAAACGAGTATTGTTTTTGTTGGATATATATATATCCCGCTCAAAGTGCTATTTGTCAAACATTAGTTAACAATATATTTCTACAACTTATAACAACGTAATATTGTCAAGTACATGGCCAATCAACTTGCTCGATTAACCTACGAGTACCTGTGAGAGGTGCAATAAGTAAAACAAGTGTGTGGCAAATGCTTTCATATGCTTTGACAAGTAATTACCACGTGCTTGTCAGAAGTACTCCGTCGCAAATATATTCACTAGGGAGTTTATTAAGAATCGCTCAAAGTTTAAAATGGCTCATTTTGTAGAGAACTGTTCAGTCTCGGCACGGTCAGATTACTCTGTTACCGCAGTGAAATTCCGTAATGACATTTTGCTGTGTTTATATTTTTTTAACGAAACCACGTGCAATGCTGTGGAACGTCTGGAATTGTAAAGCAAACGTTTCTCTACAGAATGAGACGTCCCGGATCCATATATGTTTCTTTATTTAAGCTTTATGAAGCTTGAGAAGAATGTTTTGTATTTTTCTTTTAATTTATAAACAAAGAAACGTACAGAGTCTCGAGACATCTCCTTTTATAGAGAAATATTTGTTTTACAATTCTAGATGTTCCACAGCACTGCACGTGCTTTCGTTAAAAGAAATATAAACACAGCAAAATGTCAAAATTACGTCACAAAATTTCGCTTTGGTAGCAGAGTTATCTGGCCGTGCCGGTCTACAATCTCGTAGGCAGTCAGTTTTTGGCAAAATCATAAATATCAATTCAACTAGAGAATTTACTTAATCAAAGACAAATTTCAGGCTTATGTTCAGTTGTAGAACAACTTCTAAACACATCAGTGATAAATATGAACACCGTATCCATTTGTAATTAAGTTCCATTTCTATCAGATGTATAAACGAACTCTTTTAGAATAATTGGTTACACGTAAATTTTTTCATACATAACAGGTTAAATTTTTGCAAGTGCTTTAGCTTATGTCGATGTTTGTTGTTTAAAGATGTCCATCGTTTTGAACATTGTTTCACACTCTGACAACAAGTATGTAGACGTCTTAGATCTTCATTTTAAGCAAATTCACACATAAGGAAATACTTTTAGTTCGCAGGAGCTGACAGCCGATCGGGAATCACCGTTATCGAGCTATCCAAGTTACTTTTTGTTTTTTCTTGTTTATATTTCACTTGTTTAGGAGGATTATGTGCAGTTTCTTTCTATATCGTACTTTCACGACACATATTGGCAACATGCATGTAGTTTTCCGACGAATTATAACACTTTTTACAAGTTTTTTCGAAAAAATTCAACTGCCACCGTTTGCTCAATTAGCTGATACCTTTAAGTGCGTATAATACCAAATATCAAAAACCATGCTCGAAATCATCCGGCATCTTTTCACCTGTATAGACATTGGTTAAATAAGAAAAGAGAAAGAAAGAAAAAAGTATACGATCAGCGGTATTTTTGGTAGGTAACTTCTTACAACCATAGTTTACTTAACTTGTGTGTCATTATGAACAACTACTTTATCGGAAAGAAAGATAACAAATTTTTCAAATGAGTTTTTGGCTGGAGTCCTCTAAAAGCGATTTTTCTGAAAAATTTGTTTTGTAAAACATTTGAGTAACACATGATTCGATCCAGTTTTGTCTACTGATTTCAAATATGCCTTCACTTTTCATTGAAGATGTAGCGGACTACCTCAGTGCTGAAAACCCATTTTTTCTCAATGTTTATGCTCTCGCATTCGAAATCCAGTTCAACTTTTTTTATATCGTAGAAGAGAGAGAATTGAGTTCTGCATAAAGAGAGACTAAAATAAAGTTTAAGTCTTTGATGGTTTTTTTGCGTAGAGCGATTTTACTGACACAGTATCGAAACTGCTGTGTCAAAAGTGTACTTTAATTTTATATAATAAAAAAATTGTAGTTCTCAGGGAACAATCAAGTTTTTTCTTTTAATTGGAAGGATGGAGCGCAGAAGTTAAGGATGTTTTTGTGCAAGCTCTTGCGGCAAGCGTTGTTAACGAAACTACAGTAAAACCTCTATTAATGAACACCTTATTATGAACGCTCTCAAGTCCAACGAAGCGATTTTTATGAGAAATACACCTCTCCATTCGGAACATGAACACTTTTTTTGCGGCTCCCCTTGCCATTATAGCATTTTTGATGTGAACACACGTGTAATGTGTCTCTCGTTCTTTCTCTTTACTGTCTATCATCTGTCTCTTATTTACCAAAACTGACTACACTTTATGTACTATAACGGACTATTGTACGTATGAAAAAAAATGAGATCGCAACACGAACTAACTTTAAAAGAAAAAATTGGATTAATTAATGAATTAGAATCAAAATTAATCAATGTTTATATTAATTCAAAAAGAAAAAGACAAACAACATTAGAGTAGTTTATTTAAAACAATTAAATTTTGTGCTGTAATTAAAAAATATTTCAATTCAGATACATTTAAATGAAAAGAGATGAACCATAGAAGCTCTAATTTAATTCAGGACTAGCGCAGGAGCAGACATTCTAAAACTTTTTCTTCGTTTCACCGTAAAAGACGCATTATCTATCTAAAGTAAGCACCTCCCTATAGTGAATGCTTTTGAAAAGTCTCGATGGTGTTCACAATAGAGAGATTTTACTGTATAGCATTTTTACTGACCATAATGTCGTTGAAAAATCATAAAATCTTGGATGTGGAATTGTGATTATTTCTAATCAGTTCTAGGCGATTTTCACATATGTGATCGAGTTTAGCATTCTAAACAACTTTGTCATTTGGTATAATACCAAAATCGACTCCTGGGAGACGATAGAAGTTTGTCTCTGAAAACCCGGTGTATTTCAATAGAGTGCCTCTATTTGGCACAGTGCAATACTTGTACGAGATACATCTCCGTCAGAATTTAATAACAATAGAATTGCTGAAATAGGAGCCAGTATTTCAGCTTCTTTTTGTGGCGGGGATCGGATAGGAGAGAGTCAGCCAACAAGAAATATGCCATTAGAATGTAGGATGGAAATGTCTACTGCATCCTAGTGAAAACGAATAATTCTCGTTTTACTTCAGGCAACTCTTACCTTTTGAATCCTTTTTTTCCCGGCAGCTATCTTTCAACAAATGCTGATGATGAATTTACCAGCTAATACCAGAAGTTTTTAGCAGATAACTTCTGATAATGGTAAATTATAGACAAAGAACTTTACTGATGCAGTCGGTCATCTCATTGGTAGATCTCTTCAGCTAATACAAAATTAGAAAATGAGTCATTCAGCATCATGAACAGCATCATGAATAATACAATCATAACATGATATCAGGATAACATAATGAAATAAATAAATAAATAAATATGAATAAATGCATCTTATTCAGTTTTAGTTTCACCTGTTTTATTATGTTGGAGTTAAACATTAGTTCTGAGAGGAAAACAAAGTCATACGGCGAGTAAAAATATTTTGATCTATTGATCAAAGCAATATTGAAACAAGGAATTCAATTCGATTTAGACAATAAGCATTAGAAAGAGGTGTTTAAAAACATTGCCTTTATGTTCATAAAAAAAACGTTTAATATACCTATTCGCTGTTTTAGATAGTTTTCCTATTCTAGTTCCTTTTCTCTTATACATATTACCAAAACATGGAGGCATTTACTAATCTATTTCATAGAAAAACTCCAAAGGAAGTTGCTCGTGAAAATAAACGTGAAATAACTCGTGCACGTCGAGAATTACAACGTGAAACAAATCGTTTACAAAATACTCAGAAACAACAAGAAAATGAAATTCGAAAACTAGCTGCCAAAGGTGAAAAGGTATGTTTAATTGAAATTCTGAAAGTGATCGATTTACGTGTGAAAATAATAATTTATTTTCACATTGTATATTTAGACAGCTCTTCGTCAATATGCTAAAAATATTGTTAAAACACGTAATCAAGTGAATAAAATATCCCAAATGGATGCCACATTGTCAGCGCTAGAAAGCGAGATAGCAACAATAACAACAAATCAAACAATGATGGATGTTATGGTTAAAACAACAAGAACATTAGAACGCATAAACAGAATGGTATGTACATATACACATGGATTATTTTAAAAATAATATGGTTTTTGTTTTCTGTTCAGATTCCATTGCAAGGTTTTCAACAGACAATGATGAATTTTGAAAAAAATAAGGATATAAATGAAGCCAAGCAACAGATGATGGAAGATGTGATGGATAGTGCATTCGATGGAGAAGCAGATGAAGAAGAAACGTATGTATTAGTAGTTTTAGCACACTGAAAAACTGTTTATGACTGTTAGAACTGAGCAAGTAATAGATTTAATCAAAACATGACTTGTATTAAAATCACAAAACGTTCATATCGTGTTTTTATTGGTAACTGACCAATAAAAACACGATATGAAGATTACGTATATATATATATATATGTAACCAATTGAAAGATAACCCATACATTTGAATAATGCCAATTTTTATCTGAAGTTCTTAGGTCAGATAGAAACGAATTGCATCCGTTTTGCTAAGGAGAAATATTTTGTTTTTTTATGTTTTGTTTTTATTTAAAGAAAATAGAAAAAATATCCAATCTCTAGTTATACTCATGAATGAAACAAAGTTTTACTTGCTTCTTTTTTTTTAGAGACCAACTTGTGGATCAAGTACTCGGCGAACTCAATATCAATATTGCAAGTCAAATGCCAAGTACGTTTTTTTGTCTTTTTTTTAATAATAATCGTAGATGTCTTGCTTTCATATATGATAACACTCATTATTTTTGAATACGGTATACAGTATAATAGGGTTTTTAATACAAACTGTTATGCTTCATATAAAGTCTCAACTCAGCAGTTATGAAAGATTAGTCTCACAAGATGTTATGAATAAGAGCTCATGTATTCAAGTTGGTAAACGTACATAATTGATTATATGTTTTTCAATAGTTTAAGTTTTAAAATACTTTAATAAATTTCCATTTGTATTCTTGATGTTAATAATGATAAAATCTAGAATTATTGATCAATATATTTATTTCAATTTAGTAGATAAACATGAAACTTTACGAGGTTTTTCTCAAACTAAATTCAAACAATATTCTATACTCCTTTAGATAATTCTATACCTCGTTAAGACAACATTTAAATTTAGATAGTTCTATTTTTTATAAATTTTTGTTTGTTTGTATATCATCTAGGTGTCACAGGTGGTCCACTTGCTGCTGGTGGTGCTCGTGCAGCAGCTAAACCTCAAGCTGTGTCAACAGCTGATGCAGATTTAGAAGCTCGTCTGGAAGCATTACGTCGAAATTAGAAATAGTTATTATTTTCATCCGGTCGATTAATCACTATTATTATTATTATTTAAAGAGAAATTTTTTGTTCCATCTAATGTACATAAATGATAAAAAGAAAATCTAAGAAACGCTTTCGTTTTTTGTATTATGTGTAATTCGTGCTTGCATTATTCGTGTTTTTTACTTCAAACGTCCCTTATCTATAGATATACACACGCACGATATATGTTTCATTTCATTTTTCTTTGTTCTTGTTGTTGTCTTAAAATAAAACTTCAATTGATACGAAAAAGATTGTTGTCAACAAATGCAATGCATTTTAATAAATTTTATTATTATCTTTTGTGAGCAGAAATTATGTTAAAATTCTCGCGCAGCTATTCGTTCGTACGTAAAGAAATGTTCTTCTACCCGGGTAGTTGGTTAATTGATCTATTCAGCATATGTACTGTAAATAATCAGAGATTTTATTCTGCTTTAAGATAAATACCTTGGTATTAAAGAAAACAACACTGTCGCACATGACCCGTCTCTAACTGAGGTCATTATCTGGTTAGTTTTTATTATGGGAAAAGTAGTAATTCATAATCATCATTCTTTCGAAGAATCACAAAAATATGAGATCTAGTATGAATCACGATATTAAAATAGTTCGACAAAGCGACAATGAGCATTTCTACCTCAAACAGAATGTTACGGTTATGAAAAATGTAGGTAGAATAATCTAATACACAGTGGGATATTCTCCCTAGACAAGTGGACATTAGGTTTTCTATATTTCGAAATAATTGTTTCTGGTGGAGAATAGATTTTTTTTCTTCAATTCATTAAATTGAAAATAAATTATTTTCTTGTCAGCAATGTTCCTAATAGGAGTGGCACATTACCGTTACTGTTACGAGTAATCCAAATATTGTATATATTCCTGTTACCAGTAAGAGTAATACTTTTCAGTTTTACTGTTGCCGGTACAAATTTTATGAACATTCCTATTATCAGCAACAGTAAAACTGAAAAGTATTACTCTTACTGGTAACAGGAATATATACAATATTTGGATTACTCATAAAAGTAACAGTAATGTGCCACTCCTAGGTCCTAATAATCCAAAATTTATGCTTAAGCAAACAAAAAAGGCTTTTGTTTGTTTCTATTCTATTCCTATATAATAAATGCCATGTACAAAAAAGCTTTCACAACTAATCTTTACATTTAAATATATGTTGTACTACAATTTCAAAAAGAACAGAAGAAAGTAACTAGATTTGACGACGTACAATTATAAAAATATATGAATATTGCTGTTGATCACTCATACACAACACTGATACATAGAGCACTCTCGTACAATCATAACACACGTTTAATGCACAAAATTAAAACGACTAATTTATATGAAATATAAAGTTAACAGATAGTTCAAAATAGTATTAGTAACATAAAAGTCAACTAAATCTCAATTACAACTATTTTCCGTTCTGTTTTTCTTTAAGACTTCTTTTTAAATGCTTTTATATTAGGAAGAAGAAGAAGGAAGATCCCGCTTTGCGGTATAGGGTGCTGCCGAAGCAGTTTCGATATTTTATATTAGGCGCTAAGGCTATTGTTTCTGAAGGATGGATAGTACTGGGAAAAATTAAGACCATAGTATGTTTGTCTTTTCTGTCACACATACTAACTGATTTTTGACAGCAACACTATAAAGAGCATGAAAAAGTAAGTAGAACTGTACATTTTTAGTCTCTATACCCTAGAATTTGCAGGTAGATTTTCTAGACCCTTTTACTTTTTCTTTCTTATATGACAACCATCACTATTAGACATACAACCATATGTAATCATATATTCATCCTTGAATAGCTATGTAAATTTCGAAGCTATTCGAGGTATGAAAATTTTGGCAGTTATATGTGAGAAAAAGTGTGAGAAAAAACAGTAATTCAAGTATTATCAAGATATGGGTACAAGAACTCAAGAAATTTCAAGACGTTCAAGGTCTTGGGATCTTGGAATTTCTTTCGTTTCTTACTAAGATCTTGAGTCAAGAGCTTACTCAAAAAACTCAAGAAGTCAAGATCTTAGTTAGAAGAAGTTTTACTAGGAAGGATTGTGTAGAATCATTAGTCATACTATGTGAAGAACTTATAAACGATTTATAGCAAAAAAACATGACTAAATCATTAGACAGAGAATAACAACTAGACTTTATTGTTCAAGGCAAAACCGGTCGGTTAGTTTTTCGGTCAGTTTACCAACCGGTCTGAATTTAATATCGCCGATCGGTAACGGTTTCGCTTTTCTATACCGGTTCCACCTCTGATCCAGCCAAAGAGGCCTATACTGGGTGACCAGTATATGAGTAAGTAAATCTGTATCCACACAGCATATGAGGTTACTAGCTTCTATATGCTTGACATCCAGATTGGCCACTCAAAAACTTCAATAAAGTTTTGGATTTAATTACTTTTTCTCATTTTATAAAACCGAAATGAACTAATGAAAATTTCGTCCACATCTGAATAAGAGTAGTCCTCAATATATTTCTAATCGACTCTGTTGGCTGGCTTTTGGACTAAGATGTGTGTACGCTTGGGTGTCCACTTGAGAAATATCAATAAATGTCATATTTTCAGAGTATTTCTAAAAAAAGCTTTTTAATTCACTGCATTTTATGTAAAGGAATAACTGAGATTCAAGACCTACATTCAAGATCAAATCTACATTCATCACGCAATATTTTCAAATACAAGATTGATTTGATAGAGAATACAAGCTAGAAGTACAGACAGTATACTGCCCAGGTAATCAAAAGATGAGTAAAAAGTCTCGAACGGACATCCAGGGTAAGAGACGGTATGGACAAAGTCCCACTTTCAGACCCGTTCGAACGCCAGTCAACTACTTTTTTCTATTCACCCGAGTGCTATGTAAAGATATCATAATTGTTGTTTTTGGAAACTATTTTTTTAAGACATGTTTAGCTCTCTCCATAAATGTCAATTTTTTTATTGTTCAGCACCAATACAAATAAATTAAAAAATTAAAATAAAAAAAAAAAATGAATCCTAGAACTCTCAGATGTACTCTATGTATTTAAAGCTCGTTTAACGTGTTCAACAGTTGTTAAAGATATTAATAAAATATCAAATCACACTACAGAAAATACACGGATAGACATGTAAGAATTTTTGTCGATATTTTCAACTGCATAGAAACGAAAAATATGCATTATTAAGAGAAAACTAGTAGAAAAAAAGGTTATTTTTAGCTAATTACTTTGTTCGCTCGTTGCAGTCATTTTGAGAATAACAGAGGTAAAGAGAAAGAAATAAAGCACCAGTTACGACAGTGGAGAATAAAATAATAATTGTTTAAAGTATCATTTTTCAACATAAGGTGGCCGTAAAGGCAATTTCACAGTATGCTCGAATCTTGGATTTTTTAAAAGGTTATCCCAAGCAGCATGTTCTTCAGCGGTCGAATCAGCCCAACTCACCGACTTACCCCCACGAACACCTAAAATAATTGAAGAAAAGAATTATATCGCTTTAAATGAAAAAAAGTTTTAATTTATTGTACGATCAACACTGTAGTCCTAGAGTTGTTTTAACTATTTTAATCTTGAGATCATCTACAAAAGATTATTTTGTACTAGCCCCGACGAGAATTTTTTAAAATTCATACTATCTTCGATCAAGAAAAAGCGTTGAACTCCACTAGAATTCACGACGCTCCACTGGGTATGTGCCATAGAGACGACCATCTTGTTCAATTGATGTTCGAGTTTTTCGCTTAAATTTTTAGATTATGTAATGATACGTAAGAAAATTGATACGTAAAAAATTCCAGAAACTTTCTGATCGAGACGCACTCCGAATAGAATTTTTCGTAAAAACTCTTGAAAACAGCTTAAAGCGATAACTACTATCTGTTTAAAAAAGCATTTAAACCATCTCTTCATAATCAAAAGGAATTTGAAAAAATTTCTCAAAAACCAGTTTTCTAACGAGGAAACCGCCGGAGGTAATACGCTGCGTTTCTAATGAGTTATACCTCAATCGATAGAGTATATCGAGCTAGTAAAAACTCTAAAAGGATTCGGGTTCACGGCTTTTGACGACCCATTTTTTCTGGAAAAT